ACCGTAGCCTGATTAATACAGATGGACGGACTTGGCTAAATCGTCTTAGAAATTCTTAGAATAAGTTTAGATTTGTTCGAATTGGTCACCTTTGGCACGAATTATGACCTTCAAACAGCCAATGAAACCGTCACACGCTGCCCGAATATTGCTCTGCGGTATTTTGGCCCATTCCCGGCAAAGCGCTTGCTTGAGGTGATCGACATTTGGTATTTTTTAGTGCCAACCTTGCTTTCCAAAATGCTCCGGACACAATAGTCCAACGGATTGGTATCCGTAGATTTTGGTGGCCATTGTGCGCTTTAGATAAAGCGAGAAACCTCGTTTTGTAACCAATCTTGGGTGGCGCGTGCTGAGTGCGATGGTGCTGAGTCCTGTTGGAATGCCCAGAGCCTGCGGCCACCATGTTTGCGTGCCCAAGGCTTTAATATACCCTTCAAAATATTTTCGCGATAATATTCTGATGCCACGGTCGAATAATACGAGCGGAAAGCGAACATCGGCTTTTATGGCGGCCCACTCCATCACCATGGCCGGCGCTTGAGTTCTGGTGGCCAATCGAATGTGCATATTTTCAGCTGACCTCTTTGATAAGTAAAGACGATCATTTTGTTTGTTTACAAACTGCTGGACAACGAATGTTTTCTCATCGGAGAAAACCAAATTCGGCAGTTCACCACTTTCGGCCATGCGAAGCAACTCTTTAGCTCTTTTTTTCTGTTGCGGTGTAAGTTCTTGCACTTTTTAGAATTCCAATGGCTTTACTCCGAGCTCATTTTTCAATATTTGTCGAATGGAATATTGCGATATGATCAGCTCACGAGCCACATTTCCGCCACTGCGTCGCGGGTATCGATCAAGTCGCTTCTTTACTTTTCGCACCATTTCTGTTGATGTTGCTGTTTTCTTCCGTCCGCTTCCTTGACGTCGGGCTACGCTACCAGTATCACTAGTATCAGTAACGAGCGATGGTACGAGACACCAAAGATTTATTCACATTTAAATGCTGGAGTGCTCTAACGATAGCCACTTGTGGGTTTCCAGCCAAATATAAAGAAATCACACTATCACGCATGAATTCCATCACGAATAACTTTTTTCTGGAAAATTCTCACCAAAATGCTCTTGTAAACAATATAATGAGCTGTCACTGGAAAAATTTTAACAGCTGTCGGGCGAGTGGCTTGGAAATGACAGCAGTCTGAAGATGGTTGCAGTTTTGTCATCTCACTCTGTATATACTGTGTTATGTCTAAAATTATTATTTCGATGAATGACGAACTTAATATACTCTCCATACTACATGTGTATGGTGGAGGGTAGAAAAATAATTTGTAAATATTGGGATTAAATTACCCGAAAGATTAATATCAAAGATTAAGAGGTTACACGTCTGTTCAAAAAGTGTTTTTTTTTTTATTTGATACTAAAACGTGGAATTGGTGGCTCATTCCCAGGCTTCGTATCCAATGACTTCTCTGTGTTCCCGCCAGACCGTTTTTATTGACAAATTCTTTATATTTACATTCGTAATACTTTTCCAAATAAAAAGCAATCGCATGCAAATACCATAATTGGCGCCCAACCAAAGAACCCCTTTTTATTTACTCTCTGATAAGTTCTCTTGCCAATCCCCATAATTCCGAAATCCATATATAATGGATCCTCGTCATTTTGTTATTTATAGCTGGAGACGAAAGCGTCACTGTTTTCCATGACGACAATAATGTTATCGACGTTATACTCTGACTAACTTCGTTGACTGATAATGGCAGCAACAGCGTAGATTCCCGTAATTTCTATTAATTCTATTAATATTCATTAGCGGTCGTTCTCACCACCGCTGACAATAGAAACAAAATAAAAACACAATAAATTTTGAGTTTAATGCATATTCTTAAGAGGGAATTCGATTGTTATGCCGCAGTCGCCGATAAAGGAAATCAAGACGACAGCTGCTGCCGTGGCTGCTACTCATTATCAAGTGGCGAAAGATGATTTCAATAATCCATTATCATGGCCATTTGGACTCTGGGACAAGTGAGGTGGTATAAGGTGAGTTATTTGCTTTGGAAGCATATATCAGATGTTGATTTGCATAATGAAACAGTGTTGCCATTTGTCGGATTTTTTAAACTTCACGCCATACTGTACTACGGGAGAAAAAGTTGGTCAGTTTTCATGCTCTACGCCGCACAATGTTTCAGGATCGTTTTTCCCGGTGAAATTCTGCGATTTTGAACGGTTGAAGAGACGAACCAGTTCAAATAAACTATTCTGCGAAAGGAGTGATCGGATCTAGATGCAATTTTATCTATCTTGTTCCTTTTGCCTATCTCGTTCCGTTTGTCTATCTTGTTCTTTTGCCTGTCTAGTTCTCATACTACAACCTGTTTCTTAAATTTTATTATATTATCGTTGTTGTATTTCCGGATGCCGCATTGTAAAATAAACAAGTAAAAAAGAAGCAAGTTCGTCCGGGCCGAACTTTTTATACCCTCCACCATTTGGACGAAGCTTGAAAATTTTTAAAAAATTCCGTCGAAAAATACCTCTCAAATGAAAACTGCTATATGGGGGTTATACGAATACGTGGTCCTGCATAAATATTTTGTGTCATAGCATGTAGTAACGGTTCCGAACTTTATATTCGAAATTTGAAACAATTCCGGTGAATAATGTCCCAAAAATCATGAAAATACCGAATACCTGGGGGTATCGTAATGTGAGCGCTATACTAAAACGTGAACCTATTTCGACAGGGGACAAATTTCTCACAAGGAACTTCTTGTGTGAATTTTCAGACAAATCCACTGAAAAATGTGGCTAAAATCAGCAAAATAACGAATATCGGGAGGTGCCATTATACGGTTGATATACGATATCGTAGACCTATATAGACAATTCTATTTCAGGAGTAAAGTACTCACAAAGAACTCCTTGCGAAGAATTTCAGACAATTCCATTGAAAAATGTGGCTAGAATAATTAAAATGCCGAATATTCGGTGTGACCGTTATGTGGGGGCTATACGATATTGTGGAGCGTATAGCCCATCTTCGAACTTGACCTGCTTGCAGACAAAAGACAGATCTGTGTAAAATTTTTGCTTCCTATCTTAATTCATTTTGACTGTAGCGTTATTACAACAGGCGGACAGACAGGCGGACATACGGACGGACGGGCGGACTAATATATCCCCCCCCCATGTATGGTGGAGGGTATAATGAATCTCTGTCATAACATTCAGCCCAGACCGTCCGTCCCCCTGTTGTAATCACCTTAGAGTCAAAACGAATTAATAAAGGACTTTAGCGACAATATTCACCGGAATTTTTTAAAATTTGGTATTTGAAGTTTGCAATGGTTACTTTACCCTAGGATGGAAAATTTTCTACGCAGGTCCACTTTTTCGCATAGCCCCCTTCCGATATTCAACATTTTTAATCAGATTTGTTTCAAATTTTCTATACATTCCTAATAGGTACTACCATCTATGACTGAAAATTGCTCATGCAGGTCCTTGTCTTCTCCATATTTTTTCTAGCGACATTATTCACAGGTATCGTTTGAAATTTGATATTTGAAGTTCGTAATGGATACTTCAGCCTAAGACAGAAAATTGTCTGTGCAGGTCCGGTTCTACGTATAGCCCCCATACCTTCCGATATTCGGTATTTTGATGATTTTAGCGACATTATTCACCGGAATTGTTTCAAATTTGGTATTTGAAGTTTGCAATGGATACTCCTGACAGAAAATTGTCTGTACAGATCCACGTCTTCGTATAGGCCCAATATATCAATACCTCCCGATATTCGGTATTTTTAAGATTTTAACAGAATTTTTAATGAATTTTTTTTAAATTGTCAAATTCGTTCCAAATAGTGGAGGGTATTCAAAGTTCGACCCGGCCGAACTTACAGCTTTTTCACTTGTTTTTAATAATATTGATTTAAATCTTTTCTTGATATATAATGGAAATAAAAATTTCCTTTCTTTGGTGAGTTGTAGAGGAATTTAATGAAGAATATTTTTGTCTTTGAAATCATCCTCCTAAAATGATGCTTTGTGGGAGAATTTTGCATAAATTCGCATGAAATAAGGCTTTAACCCTAAAATGTTTTTTACTAATTATGAATTTCTGCGATTTATGTAAGATTTAGACTTTTGATGTCTTTTGGAACCTATAGTAGAATTTCATGGCAAATAATTGTGTAGAATATAGTAACTTGCTAGGATCTGGTTTAAAGGTAGTTTTCAACCATATTTTGAAAATTTTCAAAAAAAAATGAGAAAGAAGGGAGCATTTTTCTATTTAGGTTACTTTGCCTTCTAAATATTCAAAACTCCGATACACATGTCTTCTATTTTTAGCTCTATTTCCATAATCTCTGGGATTTTTCCTGTAGTTATCGAAAATAGAAATTGAATTTTGTTCCACAGTGTAATCACAACTCTTGTAAAATGTAAAGTGATTGAAATATTTTATCTAATATCAAGAGGAAATTATAAATTGTCGTAGACTCAGGCTACATATCTGTCGGCAAACCAACTGATACTTTCTGTCTCTGTTAAATTTAATTCAAAAGATATAACAAAACTTTGCCATCGGACTTCAATTTATTATTGGCGCCATTTTTTATCTAAAACCTTAATTAATTACCTTAATTTTTTTATCTTCTAAAGAAAAAAGGTAAAGCAACGATAATGTTTTATATACATTTCTATAAGTAACGAAACATGAATATCTACAAAAAAAATTCACACGTTTTCATTTGATGACTTCCTCTATCGAGGCAACAGGTGTTCTAAACACATCCCAACACACATATATGCCTCGGCAATATATGTATCCAGCAAATATAAATACATAAAATAAATATGAAAATAATATTTTTTTCTTCTTCTATAAACAACGACAGCAGCTTTGTTTAAAAATAATAAACAAAAAACAAATATTATTTTTTTATTCCATTTCACATTAACAAACATACTTACATCGATATATGATGTCATCTCATCAAACATTGTCTTCAAATCCCGCTGATTGCCCAGCATCAGCGGCAGTATTTGTTTCTCGTGCAAATCCAAGATCTCTTTAATATTGCCCAGCAATTGTTGTTTCTTATCTTCACCGCGCAGCGATTCAGGCAACTTGTCGTATTTATCCAAGTTGCCATAGTTTTGAAGGCCCTTCTTCAGATTGTTGATGTAGTTGCCCTCCGTTTGGAGTAGCTCATCGATGATGTAGCTGATTTTATTCGACGAATAGATTTCAGTGTGATCACAGGGCAGAAGGTTCTCCAACGATATGGTATCCTCATCTTCGTGACTGGTGGGGATTTTTTTGTTTGGGGGAAAGACAAGGAGAGATATAGAGAAAAAATATAAAGTTATGAGAGTGAGGAGCTTGAGAGGTAAATTGAAATAGGGTGACCAGACATATTGCAAATTTTTTTAAACGGAGAAAAATTAAATAGACAATGTCGGATCAAGTAAATTCCATTTTTTTTCAATAATTACAGGAAAAATCGAAGAGATTAGGAATATAGAGCCGAATTTTGAATACCCTCCACCATTTGGAATGAATTAGGAAATTTTCAAAAAAAAAATTAAATCCGTTAAAAATTCTGAAAAAAAATCTTAGAAATACCGAATGTAACCGTTATATTGGCGTCTATACGAAGACGTGGACCTGCAGAGGTAACTTTTGTCATAATCCCATACAACATTTAAATACAAAACTTCAAAAAAATCCAGTGAAATATGTATCTAAATCATTAAAATACCGAGTATAGGTAGGTATCGTTATATTAGGGCTATACGAAGACCTGGACCTGCATAAACAATTTTCTATCACAGGCTGTAGCACCAATTAGGAACTCTTGAACATGTGGCCTATACGAAAACCTGGACCTGCATAGACAATTTTCTGTGATATACTGTAGTTCCCATTACGAATTCTAAATACGAAATTTGAAACAACTCCGGTGAGTAATGTCCGTAAAATCGTCAAAATATCGAATACCCTTGCATGTGGGCTATACGGTATCTTGGACCTATATATAAATTTCTCTTACAGGAGATTAAATGCTGAGAAAGAACTTCTAACATGGATTTTCATTGAAAACTGTAGCTAAAATCACCAAAAATACCGAACACAGGGAGGGGATATACCGTTATATGGAGGATACACGATATCGTAAAGTAAATTAAAGTAGTCGCAAAGAACTCCTTTAGTAGATTTTCAGACATTTTCATTGTAAAATTTGGCTACAATCATGAAAATACCGCATATCGAGAGGTACCGTTACATAGCCCATCTTCGAGTTTGACCTGCCTGCAGACAAATGACTGATCTGTGCAACATTTTGGCTTCCTATCTATATTCGTTTTAAATCCATCATGATTACAGCAGGCGGACGGAAATGCAGGGCTAAATCGTCTTCGAATTTTACGCTGATCAAGTATATAAATATTTTGTTATGTCTAAAATTATTATTTCGAGGAGTTAAAACGAAATGACGAACTTAACATACCCTCCATACTCCATGTATGGTGGAGGGTATAAAATTATATATCGAAGCCGAGTTCCACCAAATAGAAACGTCCGACCCGGCTGATGTTAACCATTATTTGCACACTAAACCTGAAATCGGATTAGGGAGCAATATCCAATTCTAGATTGGATCGATCGATCGATTTTCATCAAATTTGATGTTCTTGCTTCTAGACTGAATTCGGTGGGATGTGCAAAAATTCAGGTTATTTGGGCCGATATTGGCCATTTGGTGAACAATTAACCCGAAATCGGTTGAAGATATATACGGGAACTATATCTACATTTGAACCGATTCTCACCAATAGGGTATAATTAATATTTCGATGAGTTACTAATGGAATGACGAACTTAATATACCCTCCATGTATGTATGGTATAGCCCCCACTCAATCAAATTGTCTGAAATTTCACACAAGGAGTTCCTTGTGAGTACTTTACCCCCTGAAAGAGAATTGTCTATATAGGTCCACAATATCGTATAGTCCCCATATAACGGTACACCCGATATTCGGTATTTTGATTATTTTAGCCACATTTTTTAACGGAATTGTTTGAAATTCTACACAAGGAGTTCCCTGTGAGCACTTTATCCCCTGGAAGATAATTGTCTATATAGGTCCACGATATCGTATAGTCCCCATATAACGGTACACCCCAATGTTCGGAATTGTCTGAAATTCTACACAAGAAGTTCTGTTTAGTTTTTTGAAAATTTCCTAATTCGTTTTAAATGGTAGTATTAAATTTAATAAAAATTCGGCCCGGTAGAACTTACTACTTTTTTTTTCTTGTTCTTTTTTTTGTGGTGATACCTGAAGTCATTGTTGAAATACCCCCTTAAATCCTTTAAAAGATAGTCGAAAACTGGACTGGAGAACTGGAGATATTTTATTATTATTATTATTATTATTATTATTATTATTATTATTATTATTATTATTATTGTTATTATTATTATTATTATTATTATTATTATTATTATTATTATTATTATTATTATTATTATTATTATTATTATTATTATTATTATTATTATTATTATTATTATTATTATTATTATTATTATTATTATTATTATTATTATTATTATTATTATTATTATTATTATTATTATTATTATATTATTATTATTATTATTATTATTATTATTATTATTATTATTATTATTATTATTATTATTATTATTATTATTATTATTATTATTATTATTATTATTATTATTATTATTATTATTATTATTATTATTATTATTATTATTATTATTATTATTATTATTATTATTATTATTATTATTATTATTATTATTATTATTATTATTATTATTATTATTATTATTATTATTATTATTATTATTATTATTATTATTATTATTATTATTATTATTATTATTATTATTATTATTATTATTATTATTATTATTATTATTATATTATTATTATTATTATTATTATTATTATTATTATTATTATTATTATTATTATTATTATTATTATTATTATTATTATTATTATTATTATTATTATTATTATTATTATTATATTATTATTATTATTATTATTATTATTATTATTATTATTATTATTATTATTATTATTATTATTATTATTATTATTATTATTATTATTATTATTATTATTATTATTATTATTATTATTATTATTATTATTATTAATATTATTATTATTATTATTATTATTATTATTATTATTATTATTAATTTTTTTTTTTAGTTCCTTTGTCACCTCTTATAATTAAAAAAAATGACCGCATCGATTATCGCCACTAATGACGTACACGCGTTCTACAAGGGGAACTACAAGTATCAGTTCATCTCACTATTATCAAGACTCCAAACCAATTTTTGATAAACATATTTATTAGATTTGAATATTTTATTGTTTATATTTATTTATTTATTTATTTTTTGTATTCTTTTTTTATTTTATTTATTTTTTTTTGGTCTCATTTTTACCATCTGGCCACCTTATTTCTCACATTACCATGTCCATTAACGAAAAAAAACTTAAGCACATAAAATATCTTTAAGCCATAATAAATGCACAATAAACTCAACCAATTTTGGAAAAAAGCAACGGCAGCAGCAACAAAATCCAATTCAATTAAAACAACATAAATGAGAAAATGTGCCAATAAATAAAATGCGATTTTTTATAAAAAAAAAATTAATAAAAATGAATACATACATAAATAAATAAACAGAAACAATATTTCAAATGCAACTTACTATTCATCACTCAAGTTATCGGGGTAACAGGACGTGATGGCCGTGGCAAAGTTGGGCAGTGAATATCCGGTGTTGCCATTGAAGAGATTTCCCATGGAATGGCGTATTGATAATGTTGGCGGTGTATGTGATGATGATGATGGCGTCGACGTGGACGAAGACGACGACGATGAGGAAGTCGGGGACGAAGACGATGGCAACTGCGTTGATGATGAAGACGAAGACGAAAAACATGAAACGCTGTGGTTTATGATGAATGCGTGCGTAGAACGTAGATCAAACATAACGAGCATGCAGGCGGAACGGAACGGAACAGGGACGTTCAAAACAAATAGAATCAAAAGAGGGAAGAACAAGAAAACAAAACAAGAAATGTTTATTTCACAAATATTATTTAACATTTATATTTCAATAAAAAATCAGAATTAATAAACAAATAAAAATTAAAAGAAATTTTATTGTCTGATGGACAGATGGAAAACTGGTTCCTGTTATTTAAAAATATGCGGTGCTACTTTGAATTTTGCGGTGCTACTTTGAAATTTTGTATAAAAAACATGGACCTACTTTTTCATTTTTCTATTATTTTATAAAGTTTTTTTTTTTGAAATGGTTTGAAAGTTATATCAAAATTAACAATTTTTTGGATCCGAAATTTTAATAAAACCCAAATATAAAAAAACGGACAATTATGGGGGCCCATAATGTATATATGTATGTTATTGACCCACTCGGATCCATAAATATTAGTCCAAAAATTAAATTTGCGAACAAAATTTTGCTTAATTTGATACTTTTTTATGGGGCTTTATATTTTCAGGTTGACTATTTCTTGGGGGTTGGGATAGGGTCAGAATAAAAGCCTATTATCATTAGAGATTTTCGCAAATCACTTATGAATTAGGTTAGGACAGGTCGAAGCCAATCATTTTCCCATGGCCATCGGTAACTTTTGAGCAATTTTTTTGAATACCTATCAGCACGACAGAGGCCGTAAATATAGGACAAATGCCAAAGAAAACATTTTTGCAGGACTTTATGGAATTATTAAAAAAAATAAAACAAAATGGATTTGTGACTATGGGGTCTTCCCAAATATATTATAGTGTTGTAGGGTATCACATGCTTGGGGCAAATGGTACAATGTTTGGTACATTTTAGTACGTTCCACATCGGCTTACTTCAAAGCTTCCAAGCCACTTCAGATTAATAATTAATTTATAGTAAAGAAATTTCCTAGTAAAAATGCAGGTTTCAGCTTTTCATAAACGTTATGGACCAATGGTACAATTTAGAACTTTATCGTACCTACCCAGTTTGAAGTTCAAAGATCCTAAAAAGCATTACAATTGACATCAACAAAGTCACATGTAAAAATATTTCGTACATTTTGGTACTTTGTGTAACTCTTTAGTACAATCTCACTTTATATTTGGTACCGTTTAGTACATTGCATACAAACTAAGTTCGAACTTCCCGAAATTCTTAAACCTTTCAAATTTGTTATGTACAAAGCCACGTGTAGAATTACATGCTTAGCACTTTATAAATGCTTTGGGCAAATAGAACAATGTTTGGTACATTTTAGTACATTTCACATCTGCTTACTTCAATGTTCCCAAGGCACTTCAAATCAATAAATTTATCATAAAGAAAGTCGAAACAAGTAAGAACTCAGGTTTCGGCTTTTCATAATCGTTAAGGACAGGTGCTATAAAATTTGGTACCTTTTAGTACTTTAGTACTTTTGAGATAATATTAGCCATTTGATTCACAATAAACCTGAAATCGGATAAAGATATATATGGGAGCTATATCCAAATCTGAACCGATTTTGACAAAATTTTAAACACTTTTTTCTGAGCTGTATCTGATATTTGGTACCAAATATCATTGTTGTGGAGCGCATATTACGCATTTGAGGGACTTCAACACCAAATCGGCTGAAACATATATATGGGAGCTATAGCTATATCTCGACCGATTTCCACCAAACTTAAAGGACTTATTTCTAGGATGAATTCACTCGGAATTGCCAAGATTCAGATCATTTGGGCTGGTATTAGCCATTTGGTGCACAATAAACCTGACATCGGGCAAAGATATATATGGGAGCTACATCCAAATCTGAACCGATCTTAAAGAAATTTTAGACACTTATTTCTGAATCGTATCTAATATCTGATACCCAAGGTCATTGTTGTGGACACATATCACGCATGTGAGGAACTTAGAACCCCAAATCGAATGAAACATATATATTGGAGCCAAAGCTATATCTGATCCGATTTTCGCCAAATTTGATGTACTTGCGTCTACACTGAATTTGGTCTATGAGCCAAAATTCAATTGATTTGAGCTGATATTGGCCATTTGGTACACAATTAACCAGAAATCGATTGAAGATATATATGGGAGCTACATCTAAATTTGAAACGATTTTTAACAATTTCAATAGGGTTCGTCCTTGGGCCAAAAACATATTGTTTGCAAAATTTCATCTCAATCCGATAATAAATGCGAAATGCATTTTGTTCATAAAAATACATGGACAGACGGAGGGACGGCGGAGAGACGGACTGGCATGCATAAATCGACTCAGAAAGTGATTCTTTGAAGATCCTCAAAAGTTACTAATGGTGTATCTCGCTTTGCTTCTCCATGATTCAGACAAATGCTCAATGGCATAATACCCTTGCCACAATGTGGTGCAGGGTATAAAAATGCCATGACGAAGTGTTGAGTACCTTTTGGAACTTCTATTGCCCTTTACAAAAAAGGTCCATGTTTTCATATAGACCACATAATAATTCAAATATTTTGCAACATTTTTCTAAGGAATTGGCTGTAATTTGGATTTCTCAAAATTTCAAAATTGTTTCAAATTTTAATAGTTATGTCTCCCACATGACGCTAGGTATACCCAAAATATAAATAGCAGTTCTCGCATTGATTTTTTTCCAGGTTTTGAAATCTCTAACAATTTTTTTAGTCAAACCACTTTTTTAAATCAGTAGCACCGTGCAGTTAAAAAATATTTTCCAAAAAAACACGATTTGAATGGCCACACGACGAGTTTTGAATACCAGTTTAGTTTTTTTTTCATAATTTATTGTTCTTTTAGACACAAACACACACACATAGAAAATATTTAAAAAAAAATTATCAAAAGAATTCCCCATAACAAATTTCAGGCATGCAATCGAACGTAGCGTGTCAAAGCAACCAAAATATTTCAAAAAAAAAAAACATTTTTTTCTTATCTCCAAACAGATGTTTTCAATTAAAACAACAAAAACAACCATAGAATTTCTATTCATTTTCAATTTGACACATACTTTTCACATTGTTCACTTTGTTGCTTTTGTAATTTGCCATTTTTTGTTGTTGGGGGTGGGGTGGCAGCCGGCGATGTCGCGCTTGTTGCTGTTGTCACTGGCGATGATGGCGATCTTTTATGCAAAATAGGAGGGGTCTTCTCAGCGACCTCTGTCCCGTTTTCATTTATTTTTAATAATTTCCTGAAATTGTCATCACCCACGACGGAGGCACAGTTATCCGTACAATCGACACTGCCCTTATCCTTTAAAGCCCACAGGGCATTCAAAATTTGCACCGCAATCAAAACCGCAAAGGTAAAACCGACGGTGACCAAATCGAAATAAGTCACATTCACCAAACCGTAAAACATTTTATTGTCGTTGCGTTTCTTTGACGTTATCTTTGAAAATGGATTATTATTTTTTATTCTTTTATTTGAAATTTTTTTATTATAAAAATTCTATTCAATTTTAATTTTATCAAATCATATTATCATTTCTATTGTCGCTGGCATTTAAAATAATTTTATGATATTTTGCCATTAACAACAATTTTTATTATATTCTCTTTTTTTTTGCAATTTGAATATTTGATTATCAACAGAATTTTTGTTATTTTTTCTATTAATTTTTTAACACCCGCGCCATATTATATCTCTCAACCGGAATCGCGCTCAATATCAACTGAACTAAACCCCAAACGATCAAGCATTTGATTTAGCAAAGCTTTTTTCTGTCCCAGCAAAGCACACACAAACCAAACATTGCTGTGTTGTTTGTTTTGAAAATGATGAGAAATGGGAGAGAGAGAGCAAGAGAATCAAACAATATGGGAGAAAGGGTTGCCAAGAAATCAACAATTTTTTATAAAATAAATATAAATTTAGAGAACTGTTTAAAGACAAGCGGTTCTATGGTATAAAAAAACATGGACCTATTTAAAAAAAGAGGAAAAAATTCCCCAAAAGGTACTAAATGCCGTGTCTTTGTATTTAGTGAGCATATAAAGCTATATCTTGGGAAATTTGCAATTGAGGTTACAGTTGGATTGAAGCAGTGAAATTAGCATGGAACATTGACCTATTTGAAAAAAAGGAGAAAAAAACCCAAAAAGGCACGAAACGCTTTGTCTTTGTATTTAGCGACCAGATAAAGCTATACATTCGGAAATGGATAGAGACAGTGTGATACGTCCGCATTTTTTGAAAATTCGTACTAAAATGACACAAAAATGCTGCGGTATGTTTTATTTAGCGAACGAAACACATTTCTATCGAGATCAAGAAAATCAACCAATATGGGAGAGAGTTGCCAAGAAATCAACATAAATGTTGGTAATTGTTTTATAAATAAACATAAAATTTCACAACTTATATATAGAAAAGGGTGAGATGAAAAAACTTCAATCAACTTCAGACTGCTTTTATTTCTAAGCCACTCGTTCGACAGCTGTTAAAATTATTCTACTGATAGCTCATTAGATTGTTTACAAGCGTACAAAAGCAATTTGGTGAGAATTTTCCAGAAAATATGTTATTCGTAATGGAATTCAAGCGTGATATTGTGATTTCTTTATATTTGGCTGGAAAACCACAAGTGGCTATCGTTAGAGCACTCCAGCAATTAAATGTGAATAAATCTTTTGTGTCTCATACCATCGCTCGTTAACGTGATACAGATAGCGGAGCCCGACTTCAAGGAAGTGGACGGAAGAAACCAGCAACATCAGCAGAAATGATTCAAAAAGTAAATAAGTGACTTGATCGAAACCCACGTCGCAGTGGCCGAAAAATGGCTTGTGAGCTGAACATATCGCAATATTCCATTCGCTTGGCCGAAAGTGGTGAACTGCCGAATTTGGTTTTCTCCGATGAGAAAACATTCGTTGTCCAGAAGTTTGTAAACAAACAAAATGATCGTGTTTACTTGCCATAGAGGCCAGCTGAAATATGCACCTTCGGTTGGCCACCAGAACTCAAGCGCCGGTCATGCAGAAGAAATGTCGAATATTATCGCGAAAATATTCTGGAGGGTGTATTAAATCCTTGGGCACGCAAACCTTTTGGCCGCAGACCTTAAACACTCCAACATCGCACTCAGCACGCGCCACCCAAGAATGGTTACAAAATGAGGTTTCTCGCTTCATTTCCAGCGCACAATGGACACCAAAATCTCCGGATACCAATCCGTTGGACCATTGTGTCTGTGGTATTTTGGAAAGCAAGGTTGGTACTAAAAGATACCAAAGTGTCGATGACCTCAAGCAAGCGCTTCGCCGGGAATGGGCCAAAATACCGCAGAGCAACATTCGAGAAGCGTGGGACGGCTTCATTGGCCGTTTGAAGGCCATAATTCTTGCCAAAGGTGACCAATTCAAACAAATCTAAACTTATTCTAAAATTCGATGCATTTCCGACATTTTTTGCTTTCATTCAATAAAGTTTTAAAAAAAATGTGAAATTATGGCGTTTGACTTTATTGTAATTGTCTCAAAAGCCTTAGAAACATCGGACAACTTAAAAAGAAAGTACTACAATACCAAATATTGTACCATTGGTCCTGAGCGCTGATGAACATCCTAAACCCGAAATAAGTATAAAAAGGTACTAAATATTGTATCATTGGTGCTCAAAGATGAGGTCTCCAATGTGGAATAGAAGAGGATGTCTTCTATGAGATTGAAGATGAGTTCTTCTAAGTGGGATAGAAGACGATGTCTTCTAAGGGGTATAGATGACTAGGTATTCTATATGGGATAGAAATATGGTCATCTATGCGGGATAGAAGACAAGGTCTTCAATGTGGGGTAGAAGACGAAGTCTTCTATGTGGTATAGAAGACAAAGTCTTCAATGTGGGACAGAAGACGAGGCCTTCTATATGGGATAGAATACAAAGTCTTCAATGTGGAATCGAAGACGAGGTCTTCAATGTGGGATAGGAAACGAAGTCTTCCACGTGGGATAGAGAATGAGGTCTTCTAAGTGGGATAGAAAACGTGGTCTTCTGTGGAATAGAAGAAGAGGTCTTAAAAAGGAGATAGAAGACGATGTTTCCCATGAGGGATAGAAGACGAGGTCTTCTATGTGGGATAGAAGACGAGGTTTTCTATGTGGGATAGATGACAGGGTCTTCTATGTGGGATAGAAGAAAAGGTCTTTTATGGGATAGAATATCAGGTCTTCTATGGGATAGAAGACGAGGACTTCTTTGTGGGATAGAAGAAAACTTGGGACAGAGGATAAAGTCTACGTGGGATAGAAGACATGGTCTTCTAAGGGAGATAGAAGACATGGTCTTCTAGGCGGGATAGAAGACGAGGTTCTCTAGACGGGATAGAAAACGAGGTCATCTATATGGGAGAGAAGAAAATGTTTTCTATGTGGAATGAAAGAAAGGTTTTCTATGCAGGATAGAAGAAAAGGTCTTTTATGGGATAGAATATCAGGTCTTTTATGGGATAGAAGACGAGGCCTTCTTTGTGAGATAAAAGATGAGGTCTTATATGTGGCATGCACATTTATGAGCTTCATCTTGTGTTGATGAAAATATGGAAATATTGAGACGTTGGATCAAAATTAAATAATACTTTCTCCTTCTGTGCAGTAAAATATATTCTTTGATAATTTCGACCTTTTGTGGGGGAGGTACCAGAAGTAGTGGACCGATATTGCCCATCTCCGAACTCGATCTAAGTTTGACAAAAATTTTACGATGTACCAAGTTTGGAACGAATCGGATATTCCTTTCGACAATTATCGTGGGCACCAGCGAGGCAGACAGACGGACGGACATCGCTAGATCGACTCCAAATGTCCTAAAAATAATTTGGTCCAAGGAGACCTAGGGTCTAAAACCGTTATTTCGATGAGGCTCGTTTTTGCCGTATCAAATGATATATACCCTCTCTAGCCATATGGCTGAGGATATAAAAAGTAGAGAAAATCCAAACAAATGAAGATCTCACTCACTCCAATTAAACGGTTACTCTCTGTTATTTTATGATATGGAGAACAGGAAAAAAGTCAGCATGCCATAACTGTTACTCTCTTTCTCTCAATTACACCAACGATAACATGGTATGTATCTGTTATACATGTTTTGTTAATACTAACATTTATAACGATGCACACCTTTAGTAGAGACTTAATAGACTTTTCAAAAGATGTTTTGCAGAAAATCTTCGAAATTAAGCACCCACTGTGCCATTAAAAGCTTTGGCAAATACACTTGACACACTGACACTATGTATCGCAATGATATCACTGATAAAAATCTATTATCAATTATTTCTTTGGCTGATATCATTGAATGGGAATAGCCACTACAACATTTCTATGAATGAACGAATGAGGGCGATATCCTGGCCGAACATCAAATACTAGTTTCTCAACATGCCGACATGTGACAACTCTTCTAACACTTTTCAACGCCAATGATAGCAAATCAATTATCAAGTCGTTAGAGTGGTGGGGAAGAGGGGGCTGCGGTTCGTTTATTCATTCATTAAAATTCATTTCACATTCAAACACCCATTGAAATGATTTTGAAATAAAAACAAAATGATTTTGAAAAAAAACAAGCACCCACAAAATTCCCCATAGCTGATTGCTTTAATTACAAATCAAATAAGAAATGAATAAAAAATAAATAAACAAATTTTCAAAATCATATAAAATTTCAAATAAATTGAAAAAAAAATGCAAGCAGCCAGGCAGGCAGACTGATATCGTTTGGGGATCAGAGCGAGCAGCGGTTTTCGCGCCAAGCTACAAATTCTCATAAAATAATGATGATGATAATGCTGCTCCAAGTCTGGTGGCGATCAATTCTGAGTGCCCCATTGCTATTCGCACTTGTAGATTTTTATTGAGGCTTTCTCAACCTCCCCCCCCCCCCTCCACGAAACTGACCTCTCCTCAATATTTTGTGTGTTTTATTTGCACATGGCCAGCCGAGCGCATATCTATAGCGTTGTCATCCAACAGACAACCCGACAGACATTCAAACAGCCATTTATATATTTATTTACGTACATTGCAGTGCTTGTAATTTCGTATTTGTTAAACAATTTTTATAAAGAAATAAACATTTTCATTTATTTTTATAATTTTGCCATGCGGTCTCGAAAAGAAGTGATGTCACATTGTCGCCAATCTGTTGAGACATTGACCGAGGGAATGAATGAGCAAATGGATAGATGGGAGATGGAGGGGAGAGTGCATGCTTTGGTATTCAAATAGAAAACATTGCAGAAAAAAAGTCATTTTACCATTTTCTTTTGTTTTTTTTTTAAACAATTTTTCACCTTGAATAATTTTGAATTTTTACGTAAACCAGAGGTGTTGCAGATCTTTGATTTTGAATGGTATTGCTGATCTAATTTGAGAATTTTTTTATTGGCTACATTGAAATTATTGCAAATTAATCATACACCTTGTAAAACATGTACAGCAATTCCGTTATGGTTCCTATAAATTAATTAAAATTTTTATCAGGAGATAGCTGATCGCTGGTCAATGACTCACAAAAACACCGGAGCAATAACAATTGAAATGGGGCGCAATAAGGCGCTCTGTTTCAGAACATTTAAGAAAGGGCTAGTTTATCATTTTCGATTTCATAAAAGGAAAATCGGTTATCGTAGTAAAAACTTCTACATTCTTGCA